ATAAATAAACACATAAAAGGAAGGGGGGATCCGCAAACACACTGGACGTGTATTTTTAACTTATATATATATACTTTTTTTTTACATTTTTTGTTGATTTTTTTGTTTTTGTTTTGGTTGCACTCTCGACACATTATTAATTACACATGTCCTACTACGTAAAACATATACTTATAAATATTTACACATGAGTCAATGAGTCACTTGGAGGATGAACAAATAGATGAGTCTCTTTCATCAAGGTTTCTTTTGTTCATCCTTTTTTTTCAAAATGTTTAATCATCTTCTATTTCTTTCTGTTCTTCTCCCTCCCCCCCAAAGTGTTCTTTTTATTTTATTTTATTTCCACTTTTCACTATTCCTCTTTTTGGGGGAAAAATTCCTCTGAAGGGAAATGGGTGGTTTGGGGGTGGGGGTGGGGGGAGGGGGGGAGGGGGAGACCGATTACCCACCCACCCCTCTCTCACTTCCCCTTCCTCCCCTCTGAGGGTAATTTGTAGTGAGGGGAAGGAAGGATATTTTTTTCTTTTTCTTTTCCTTTTTTTCTTTTTCTTTCTTTTCGGTCTTTCTTTTTCTTTCTTTTCGGTCTTTCTTTTTCTTTCTTTTCGGTCTTTCTTTTTCTTTCTTTTCGGTCTTTCCTTTTCTTTCTTTTCGGTCTTTCCTTTTCTTTCTTTTCGGTCTTTCCTTTTCTTTCTTTTCTTTCTTTCTTTGAGGCTTTGTCAGCTCTGTGTGAAAGAGTCGTCATGCTGTCATGCACTTGTTGGCACTGTACCGTTATAGTGAATGACGTTTTTGTCCTTTCCATCTTTCTCCTTTTTACTTTAGGCGAGGGGAGGTGGGGGGGTGGGGGGTGAGGAGGGTATGGAAGGAGGATGAAGTGGGTAAGAGGTTGTATTAAGGAGAAGGGGGGGGGTGGGGTAAGGAGAGAGGGAAGGTAGGGTAGGGTATTTACTCTCCCATACTCCTCTCCCATTCCCCTCACCCTCTCTCTCTCTCTCTCTCTCTCTCTCTCTCCCTTTCCCCTTTGTCCCCCTCCACTCTCCCTCTCCCTCCCCCCCTCTCCTCCTTCCCTCCCCCAGCCCCTAGTAGCAAGATATTGCACGAAATCTTTGGGGACATTGCCTAGGCCTATTGTCATTATTGTCTTGGATGGGGGGGGGGGGGCCTGGCAATCACGCCTCGGGCCAGTTCAGGGGGCCACTTCAGAGAGGGCCATGGGTAGAGAGGGCCACTTCGAGAGGGCCGTTTCAGAGAGCCACTTCAGAAGACCACTTCAGAGAGGCTTCCTTCAGAGAGACGGTTTGGCAGAGGTCCGTTTCAGAGGACCACTTCAGAGGCCGTTTTGGAGGACCACTTCAGAGGCCGTTTCGGGGGGACGCGGGTCAGAATGGCCACTTTCCGCTGCGGGCCATTAAAACTGGCCAGCCAATGCAGCGGCGGCGGGGGGCGAGGTGCTATCAAATGGTCAAGGAAGAAGCTCATGGCGTTGGCCCTTGTCTTGGCACTCTCTTTCTCTCTCTTGTGTCTCTCTTTCGTACTGATTCTCCTTTCTCTCCCTTTCCTTCTCTCTCCCTCACTCTCTCCCCTCGAAGGCATGCGTCCTCGGCCCGCCCTGGCGTCCGCGCCCTCCGGGGCCACGCGGGCGGCGGCTGCCCTGGGCGCCGTGGGGCTCCCGCGCGAGGCAGAGGTCGCGGCGGGCGGCAGCGCGGGCGGCTTAGGTGAGGAGGTGCTGCTGGTCGGGGGCGTACCACGAGTACATGTAGGGCGCGGACACGGGCGGCTTCATGTCCCAGTGGTGGGCGGCGAGGCCGGGGGAGGACGCCGAGGGCGGCAGGCTCATGTGGTCGGCGGACGACACGGGCGTGGGTAAGGACGTGGGCGGCATGTAGCCCCCGTGGGCGGCGTGGGACATGTGGTGCTGCGGCGGGCAGGGCGTGCCTGGCGGGCCCAGGTGGGGCGAGCCGTGCGACTCCGGGGGCTGGCTGGTGGGCGTGGGCGGGTGCTGCGGCGGCCCGTGGGCGTGGGGCGGCATCTGGATGGAGTGCGAGGGCGGCGCGTGGGCGTGGGGCGAGGCGGCGTGCGGCGGGTGGTGCTGGTGCGGCGGCGGCGGCGGGTGCGAGTGCGGCGGCGGCGGGCAGGGCGTCAGCTGCGGCGGCGGCGGGTGCTGGGCGTGGTGCGGGTGGCCCATGGGCAGCCCCGTCTGCGTGGTGTGGGCGTGCGAGATGGGCACCAGCGCCGTCAGCGGCGGCGGCTGCGAGTGCGGCGGCTGGCCGCCCTGCTGCTGCGGGTGCGTCTGCGCCGGCGACTGCGTCTGCGGCGGCGGGCTCAGGGGCGTGGCCGTCGTGTACGTCTGCAGGGGCGACGTCGCCGACAGGGGGGACGAGCTGAGGGGAGAGCCGGGCCCCACGGGCGCCCCCTGGGGCACGCCCGGCCCGCCCGTCTGCGCCGCCTTCATCATCTTCTTGTACTTGGAGCGGCGGTTCTGGAACCAGATCTTCACCTGCGGGAGAGAGAGGCCGCGGTCAGGTCAGCGTGGAGGGGGGGGGGGGGGGTTAAAGTTTAACTCTAGTAGCTATTTAACCGGAAATCTAGAATGTGCTTTCCGATGCTGCCTAGACATGATTTTGAAACACTCCTTCACCTGGGCTTTTGTGACTTCCCGACTGATAATTGGCTTAGACTTTTGAATCGAAATGAACCATTCATGATGGCCGTTGACCTAGTGATTTGCAATCTATTTGTGTATCACTGATTTAGGGGATAGTTATCAGTGGTGATAATATAATAACTGCCTTATATCTATCTACTTGTAAATAATTACATTCTTAATCACAAAAACAAACCAAGAATAATTTCCAACACTGAACACCAGCACAAAAGCAACTCAAGACAGGTCCAGGCATGTCATAAACAGCCAATTGCCTGATTGCTGACACGTGGCTATGCACTATAAAACTGACTCCTGACATAGTAATGAAGTATAACAAATTATACTTTTGTTGTTGTTTCTGCTAACGCTGATAGTGACAAGTGACATTCAGGCGCGTGATTTTTAATGGTGATTTTTAATGGTGATAAAGTGGTTCTATATCCGATGCGTGATTTAGTGAGAATGACAAAGAACCTTTTGGAAGGATTCAGAGTGATGTAGATTGGGAGGAAATTGATGCTCGTGAAGGGAAAATTGTTGCAAAGTTATTGAAGTTTGCATGCATATACATATTTGTGTGTGTGTGTGCGTGTGTGTGTGTGTGTGGCTTTTGGAAAATCTTTTTGTAGTTTATGTATTAATATTCCCTCTTCTCTCCCTCAATCTCTCTCTCGCTCTTTCTCTCGCTCTTTCTCTCTCTGTCTCTCTCTCTCTCTCTCTCTCTCTCTCTTTCTCTTTCTTTCTCTCTCTCTCTCTCTCTCTCTCTCTCTCTCTCTCTCTCTCTCTCTCTCTCTCTCTCTCTCTCTCTCTCTCTCTCTCTCTCTCTCTCTCTCTCTCTCTCTCCTTCCCTCCCATTCCCTCTCCTCTCCCTCTTTCACTTTGCCCCCCCCCACTTCCTCCCCCTATTAGTATGCATGTATCCACACTACATTAAGGCACAGCTGAAATAACTTTGCAATTTGCATATGAACATAAATATGTCATACACACGCAAGTAACATCGACTGGAATGACCAGAAATATTTGCACATTTGCATAACGGGAGGGATCTAGAGTAGAGTGCGCGTAGTTGCCCATGTTGCATACACACTCCCCCCCTCCTCCCCCCTCCTCCCCCCTCCCCCTCCCTCCCTCTCCGCTCCTATCCCTCCCTCCCCCACCCCCTTTTCAACTCCTCCCTCTTATCTCCCCCCTCCCCCATTACGCCCCTTCCCCCCCCACCCCCCCCACGACCACTCTACCCTCACCCCCCCCCCTTCCTATCCTAACCTCCTAACCCCCCTTCCCCCCCTTTCTCCCGTTTGCAACCTTGCATATAGTTTTCAGGTTGTCAGGACAGTAAGTTCTCATTGTTTTCGTTGTTGTTGTTGTTTATTTTTTTTGTTTTCTAAGGAGTGTGTGTGTGTTTAGAGAGAAGGGGGTAGGGGGGTGGGGGTAGGGGGGTGGGGGGTGTCAAGGTAGCAGGGAGGTTCATTTACATAATGATATAATGAGAGAGATATTTCACATTTGCATATTGTACTGTGATGGTTTTGAGAGTAAATGTGATTGTGTTTTTTTTTTTCCTTTCTTTCTTTCTTTCTTTCTTTCTTTCTTTTTTTTGTATTATTGTGGGGGGGGGGGAGAAAATACTTTGCATATTCGGAAATTGGTTTGTTATGAAAATATCCCCTGTAATTCCTTTGTTGTTCTTTGTCTTTTGTTTCTTTATTTATGGCTCTTTCTCTCTCTCTCTCCTTCTATCTATCTATTTATCTATCTATCTATCTATCTATCTCTCTCTCTCTCTCTCTCTCTCTCTCTCTCTCTCTCTCTCTCCTCTCTCGTTTATTCATTTCGAAACAAAATTCAAAAACAAATATAATCTTCCCTTTGTTCATTTTTCTTTTTTTCTTTTTTCTTTTTCTTTTTTTTAGAGGGAAGGGGGGGATGGGGGGGGGGGAGTAAAAGAAGGGGGGGGGGGGTCTGCTTGACGAATTACCTTCTGCCACGCGTCCTTCCCTCTCTTTGGTCTCTAATTACCCTTTCTCCCTTTTATCCTCTTATCCTCTCTTCCTTCTCCTCTTTTTACCCTTTTCTCCCTCTCTTCCTTCTCCTCTTTTTACCCTTTTCTCCCTCTCTTTCTTCTCTTTCCTTTTTTTCATCCCTTTCTCCCCTTTTCCCTTTCCTTTTTTTATCCCTTTCTCCCCTTTTCCCTTTTCTTCCTTTTCCTCTTTTTGTACCCCTTACTCTCCTTTTCTCTCTCTTCTCTTTCTTCTTTTGACCTCTTTTTCTCTTTTTTTCCCTCTCTTCCTTTCCTCTTTTTATCCCTTTCTCTCCTTTTCCCTCTCCTCCCTCTTCACTTTTTTTC